GGTGATCGCGGGCCCCCCAGAATTCTGGGCCCTATGCACTCTCTCACCCTTTTCCCCCCACTAGCGACGCCCCTGGTTAGCAGCATCCTCAACCGTTATAGCTATAGGAAAGCTTTGATGAATAGAAAGTTAAGAACAGAATTTAGTTGAAAAAGTTTTTTTTTGTAACAATGTAAAATCTTGACTGTCATTTCACCCCAAACTTTCAAACAGTAGTGTATTTTGAAATGAAAATTAATCAAGATTAATAATAAATGCTGTAAAATTGTCCCATGTAGCAATATATATATATATATATATATATATATATACACACACACACACACACACACACAAACACACAAACACACACACACATATAAATATATTTGCTAAAATATGTTTTAAAATATATTTACATCAATTTTCCACCAATATATTTCTTGGCCTATTTTGTATATTTTGGAAAATATATCTTAAATGTATAAATATATATTTTTAAAAGCATTTAAAAATATATTTTGACCTCTATATATTTCAGTCCAAGAAAATGCATTCACATATGTTACATTTGAAGAAAAACTTGAGTTGTTGTCTATAACTCGTGTGAACACATAACACATTTGAATAAACTAAAGCAAGGAACATAATTTAAAAAGCTAAAAAAAACAAACCTGCAATATAAAAAAAATTAAACATTATTAAATCATTATAAATCTTCTTTTGATTTCTAGTAGGCCATCCACATTTGTATTTAGCATAAATGTAGGCTGCTGAAATAAATGTTTTTGTTGCCCCTAAAATACATTTAGAAATACATTTTGGTATGTGAAGGTTGAAACTAAATATATTTTCTATTTCAAAAATATATTTCATTAAAGGGGTCATTTGATGCGATTTCTATTTTTCCTTTTCTTTAGTGTGTTATGTAGCTATTTAAGATCTGCAGAGTTACAAAGCTCAAAGTCTCCCACAATAGGATTTATTCTATCTAAAAGAGAAGGCTGATCCAGACCGGGCTAAAACGCCTCGTTTAAACATGCCCCCACATCTCTACGTCATGATGTGGAAATATCTGCGTAATGCCGCCCAAATGTTCACGCAAAGAAAGAAGGCGTGGTTTCAGGAACCGCAGTAGTGTTGATGCAGCCATGTCAGGGAGACGCTGTGTTTCTGTGCGAAAGCAAAATCAGTTTATTTGGCCTTCCGAAAGTAGATGCAATGAGGAATCATTGCACTGTAAATGATTTCTGTTGTTTACACAGTATTATACTGTTTATCTCAACAGTTTCTTGCTGTGTAAACTGTGTACAGTGGGTTACTGTAGATTTTGTTGTTTTCCCAGTATTATATTGTATTCTCAACAGTTGAGAACTGTGTACACGGTTGACAGTATGTTACTGTAGATTTTCAATGCATTCTGGGAAATCATCAGTAACTGTAAATCTAAATACAGCCATGCAAATTGACCACGAAAAACACCACAGAATTTCGCAGGTAAAACTGCTATTCCTACATAAAAAAAAATTCAGGACTGGGTGCCATGCATTAACACTCTTAATTTATGTCCATAAATAAATCCATTCTGGATTCCAGAATCCATTCCAATCCATTCTGTTTCCCAAAAAGTGGATGTTGGCCTTGGAAGGGAAGGTCATCACAGAGTCCAGTACCCTCCAGCAGGACTTTAACTTACCTCCGCCCTGGCTGCCCTCTTTGGGACATTTTATGTTTTCAATGTGGAACACCAGGAGGACGCAGCCTCAACCCTGGAGTTCATCCAGAGGTAAATACTCTTCACTAATTCTATGTACAGTACGGGTCAAAAGTTTTTGAATGGTAAGATTTTTAAATGTTTTTAAAAGAAGTCTCTTCTGCTTACCAAGGCTTCATTTATTTGATCCAACATACAGCAAAAACAGTAATATTTTGAAATATTTTTTAACAATTTAAAATAATTATATTCTATTTTTTTATATTGTAAAATGTAATTTATTCCTGTAATGGCAAAGCTGAATTTTTAATGTCACATGATCCATCAGAAATCATTCTAATATGCTGATTTGGTGCTCAAGAAACATTTCTTATCAGTGTTGAGAAATCCGATGGCTCAGTGAGGCCTCTCTAGACAGCAATGTCATTGAACATTGAACTTGAATCTTTTGTTTCGAATCAGTGATTTGGATCGCGTGTCAAAATGCCAAACTGCTGAAATCACGTGACTTTGACGCTCCGAATCACTGATTCGAAACAAAAGATTCAAGTTCAATGTTCAATGACATTGCTGTCTAGAGAGGCCTCACTGAGCCATCGGATTTCATCAAAAATATCTTAATTTGTGTTCCGAAGATGAACGAAGGTCTTACGGGTGTAGAACGACATGAGGGTGAGTAATAAATGACATTATTTTCATTTTTGGGTGAACTAACCCTTTAACACCAGTCGGGAGGGATGTTATTAGGTTCATGAGACTCCATCTTGAAAAAAAAAAAATCAGACTACTTGGCTCCAACAAATTTCACTTCATTCATACACTTTTGTTACAAATTAATTTCTATTAGTAACACCAATGGGCTTTTGCATAAATTAATGTTTAGAGCTTATCTCTTATTGTGACATGACTTATTAGAGATGATGCTACATATTGTGATCACAAATCTTTTTATTTTTTTGTATTTACAGGTTTCTTGTCAGGATAAATCCTGAAAATTCGAAATGCAATTCTGAGTTCCAGGTGAGCAGAAAGAGCGGGAGGATTGTTAGGAGGAAAACCACAGCCTTAAACCCACAAGTTGCATCTTTCATTAGGGAGTTTGCACAATATGACTGGCAGAATCATTAAGGTAAGAGTAATATTAGGGGTGTGCAACGGAGCCAATATCTGTAGTAATCTCAAAATTATTTGTGTCTGAATCTGTATTTAGAAAAATCTTAAAAATGGTGGAAATGGCCAGAAATAACCAAAAGTTTGTGAAAAAATGAGAAGTCTGTTTTAAAATGTAATTCTGTTCCCTTCACAGTTTTCATTTAACAAATATGCCTTGTATAACTCACAGAATTTTTATTTTTTAATTATAATTGTAACATTTCTTTAAACAAGTTTCAAGTAAAAAAATACCTGAATTCTGAAAGGCACACAGAAACGGCAATGCGGTTATTTGATTTGCAGTTGTGCTGTGCTCATTTCATTCATGGAGTTTACACTCATTTGTGTTTCATAGGGCTGATTGAAATGGCCAAAAATTATCTTGATAAAATGTTTTATATCAGTCATATCATATCAGTTTATATATTCATTAAATGTCTTTCCTGAGGTAAATGTAACATTGCTTGACATTATTGCTTTCTGTTTTGGCAACCAGATACATCACAATGTGAATTACTTTTAAAGGATTAGTTCACTTTCAAATGTAAATTAGCCCAAGCTTTCAGACGTTCTTCTTACTGATGAACACAGTCGGGAGATATATTAATTCATATCCTGACGAATCCATCATAAACATACTCAACACGGCTCCAGTGGGGTTAATAAAGGCCTTCTGAAGCGAAGCGATGCATTTGTGTAAAAAAAAATCCATATTTAAACAAGTTATGAAGTAAAATATCTAGCTTCCGCCACACAGCCTTCCGTATTCAAGTTACGAAAAAAACGGAACTGGCGTCACGTAAGCTTTTTGAACTGTGAGAGTTTTACACTTACTTTGTAAGTTGAATGCGGAAGGCGGTTTGGCGGAAGCTAGTTATTTTACTTCATAGCTTGTTAAATATGGATATTTTTTTACACAAACGCATCACTTCGCATAAGAAGGCCTTTATTAACCCCCCCGGAGCCGTGTGGAGTAGGTTTATGATGGATGAATGTGGATGGAGACACTAGACACTTTCTCGTACTCGTTGGTCCCGTTCACTGCCATTATAAAGCTCGGATGCGTCAGGATATTTATTATTTATTATCTGATTGTGTTCATCAGAAAGAAGAAAGTCATATACACCTAGGATGGCTTGAGGGTGAGTAAAGCTTGGGGTCATTTTCATTTGAAAGTGAACTAATCCTTTAAGGGCCACACTAACAATAAATACATTGAAAATAATGCACTATAAACATGTTTGTCAACATGTAAGCTTTTATGAAGCAAATCAAGGAGTGAATTGCCGGGCCACACTTACATTGAAAATAATGCATTATAAACATGTTTGTCAACATGTAAGCTTTTATGAAGCAAATGAAGCAAATCATTGCCAGAAACAGGTATCTGTTGGGCATGATTCAAGTTAAAAACACAATGGCAGAAATATGTTATATTTAGTAAATCTTATTGAAAATAAATGATTAATACATTTACAGTGGTGCTTGAAAGTTTGTGAACCCCTTGCAGAATCTGTGAAAAATTTTAACAAAATAATTTTTTTATTTAGTACTGTCCTGAGTAAGATATTTTACATAAAGGATGTCTTACATTAAGTCCACAAGACAAGAAAATTGCTGAATTTATAAAAAATGACCCCGTTCAAAAGTTTGTGAACCATTCTTAAACTGGTTCTTAATACTATGTGTGGTTACCTGGATGATCTACGAATGTTTTTTTGTTTTGTGATGGTTGTTCTTGAGTCCCTTGTTTGTCCTGAACAGTTAAACTGAGCACTGTTCTTCAGAAAAAAATACTCCAGGTCCTGCAGATTCTTCACTTTTCCAGCATCTTTTGCATATTTGAACCCTTTCCAGCAGTGACTGTATGATTTTGAGATCCATCTTTTCACACTGATGACAATTGAGGGAAAAAGCCATTCACTGATGCTCCAGAAGGAAACAC